GATTATATTGATAGTTTAGTTATCTGTTATGCGTTAGCAGTCCGTTACACCCAAGGCCTTCCATGTTCAACATCCATCTCTCTACATAGATGATTTAGAAGATATGCTGACTAAAGCTATGCTTTCTCTCAACACTATGACAGAGGATGGCAACATCGAGGAGGTAAGCTTTTCAACTGATTCATGAAATCACGACTGTCAAAAAAACCACAAGACTCAATAGCATCTTTTCTCATTTGACAGTTGCATATCACCATGACTGCCACATTGAGACTGTGCCATCTTCAAATACATGTGCATAACCCTGATTTTACATGCTATTAGATTTGTTTGGCTTTTAGTTGCTTGTAGTCTCTGCATCATTTAACGAGACCTTAGATGTTGACAGAACATAATATGGGATTTGCACAGCACGAATAAAGCAAGATTGATTCTGAAATAAGAGATATAAAAGATGCTTACAAGCTCTTCATTTAATTTATCCAAAGCATCATACTTGATTTTTGAACTCAACCTCTGCAAGAACAAAATGTCACATTAGCAATAGAATTCTCAATCACCAACAACCAGAAATAGATATTTAGGCATATCATTGAGCATACACAATAAGCTAGCCTCGGAAACAATACTGAAAAATATCAAAATTTACAAGCATACTAGCTAAGAGCCAATAGAAACTTCATGTTTTGTGAGAGAGAGAGATAGAGAGAGAGAGAGAGAGAGAGAGAGAGAGAGCGAGCCAAAATTAGGTTTCTGGGTTCAGAGAAGGGGAAAGCAGCCGTTACTGGTTTTGAATTCGCTCGCTCACCGAATACTCTCTTAAACAACGGCGTTTCGTTGTTTGGGCCATGGAGACAATAGTACCAAACGAGTTGGGTCTTTAAGGTTGGGCCATGCGGACAATAAGTAAACTTTTATTTTTTCTGATTTTTAAAAAAAAATTGTATAGCCGACCGGCTATACTAATTTCGAAACCCAATCGCAAGGAGGGTCATTCGGATCCGTGGCACCATATTTTTGACACAATTTTTGGGCCATTAGATTACTCCACTTTTAATGGTTGAGATTAAATCTGACATGACAAATAGTTTTAATGTTTTAAATAAAAAATCATTAATTTTATTTCTCTCTCATAAAAATAAAATAAAATAATTCTCTCTCCTCCCTTTTTTTAGGAAACGTAATCTCTTTTCTTGGTAGTATCCTTTTTTATTTGGTACTCTAATCTCTATTCTTTCTCACGCATACCTCTCTCTCTCTTTCCTGGGACCAGAAAAAATCTCCATCTTTTCTCTCTCTCTCTCTCTCCAATAACTGCAAACCAACCGTATGAATTCTCTACTCCATTTTTATTTTTATTAAAACAAATATGTTTTGTTTTGTTATTTATGATTATATTGATAGTTTAGTTATCTGTTATGCGTTAGCAGTCCGTTACACCCAAGGCCTTCCATGTTCAACATCCATCTCTCTACATAGATGATTTAGAAGATATGCTGACTAAAGCTATGCTTTCTCTCAACACTATGACAGAGGATGGCAACATCGAGGAGGTAAGCTTTTCAACTGATTCATGAAATCACGACTGTCAAAAAAACCACAAGACTCAATAGCATCTTTTCTCATTTGACAGTTGCATATCACCATGACTGCCACATTGAGACTGTGCCATCTTCAAATACATGTGCATAACCCTGATTTTACATGCTATTAGATTTGTTTGGCTTTTAGTTGCTTGTAGTCTCTGCATCATTTAACGAGACCTTAGATGTTGACAGAACATAATATGGGATTTGCACAGCACGAATAAAGCAAGATTGATTCTGAAATAAGAGATATAAAAGATGCTTACAAGCTCTTCATTTAATTTATCCAAAGCATCATACTTGATTTTTGAACTCAACCTCTGCAAGAACAAAATGTCACATTAGCAATAGAATTCTCAATCACCAACAACCAGAAATAGATATTTAGGCATATCATTGAGCATACACAATAAGCTAGCCTCGGAAACAATACTGAAAAATATCAAAATTTACAAGCATACTAGCTAAGAGCCAATAGAAACTTAAGGAAACTATCAGTCCAATAATTGCAAGCATAAAATTTCTCAGCTTTGACCAGTTGAGTTTAAAAATGAAACAGAAACTAATTCATGTCCCTTGCAAATATAAAGTTAGCATGAAAATCATCAAAAACCAATCCAAAACAACAGCATAAATAACAAAAATGAAAGTACCCATAATTGAAATCACATCAAAATCATAAAACTTTAACTCACAGGAAGCTAACTCTGCGGGAAACTATGAACAGAACCTAGTTTCAGTTGCTTCACAGCTCTGAAGTCTGAACAGAACCCAGACTTTGGCCCAAAAATTATGTCAAAATTTGGAGTGGTGCTGGTGGTGAGGGTGGCTTTGGGGATGAGAATGGGATGAGAGAGAGAGAAAGAAGAAGCAGAGGCAGAGGAGGAGGTGTCAATTCTCTTTAGAAAAAAGAGAGAGAATGAATTAATTAAAGATAATTAATGAGAGGAGAGAGAATGAATTCTTAATTAATATGGTATCAGAATTTTAATGCCAATGTATAAATATTAATTAAAGAAAAAAAATATTGTTTTGCAATGTCAGGTTTAATCTTAACCATTAAAAGTGGTGTAATCTAATGGCCCAAAAATTATGTCAAAATTTGTGTCAAAAATATGGTGCCACGGATCCGCCCCCATATATATATATAGTATCTCCGCACGGCTATACTCAGTTTTTTCTAATTTTTTTGAAAATAGTATAGCCGATGGGCTATACTATTTCGACACGTGGCGCCTAATCGTAAGTAGGGTCATCTTTTTTATATATATAAATAGTCTACTCGCGCGGCTATACTCGGTTTTTCCCCTTTTAAAAAAAAAAATAGTATCACCACCTGGCTATACTGATTTTGAAACGTGGGCGCCTAATCGCCAAATGGGTCCTTGTTTTATATATAAATAGTATAGCCAGGAGGCTACACACGGTCTTTTCTATTTTTATTAAAAATAGTAATAGCCGAGCGGTGATACTCATTTTGACACATGGGCCCGTGATCGCAAGGAGCGGCTGTACTCATATAAAAAATACTATAGCCGCGCGGCTATACATGGTTTTATCTGATTTTTTAGAAATAGTATAGCCGTGCGGCTATACTGATTTTGACACGTGACGCCTAAGGAACTCTTTCGATGAGCGTCCAATTCAAAACCAGTAACGGCTGATTCCCAATTTCTGAACCCGGCAAACCTAATTTTGGCTCGCTTTCTTTCTCTCTCTCTCAATCTCATCCTCTATGCAAATATACAAAATCCAACCCAGAACCCGTAATTCTTGTTTGTCCCATGAACACTCAAAAACCAGCTGAGCCAGCAGAGATTCTTCTTAATCTTCTTTATTACCATACCATCTTACACATTCCTCCTCATCTCCAAAAATGGAACCACTTGGTTTCCAACCCAGCTCTCTCTTATTCTCACCTTGCCTACCATGTTTGGCTTCGCTGCCTCATTTATATCGCACCATCACTGATAAAAAAGCCCCTCATTTGGTTCTTGAGCTGCACAGAGAGTACAGTTTGTTGGGTTGGCATTTTTCTCCGCAATGGCGCCTAAGAATAACCCCTTTGAGATTCCTGAGGGTTGGGTGTTGGATACAAGGGTCAAGAGGGATGTGACTGAGATCAAGGTACTCTTAAATCTATACCCTTTTATTTGTATGAATGTTTGGTAAAGCTCGAGTCTGGTATAAGTCTGTTATCTTTGAAAATTTGGAAGCTTTAACTTCAGTTTTGATTGTGGATTGATGGGTCTTTTTTGCATGTGTTGTGCTGTGATTGTGATTATCTATGTGTTCATTGAGTAATATAGGAGAACATTTGAGATACGTGCCCTGCTGCTCCATCAAAATGGGAACTGTGTGCTGTCAATTGCGTACAAGAAGAATATTTTAGAAATAAAAACCTTTACGTGATTATATGAGCAGTAGAACCACTGTTTTGATCATTCAAGGTGCAGATTTGAAGGTTTCAGTGATTTTTTTTTTCTTGAAATAAAACGGTTTTCTAGTGTTGTAAATTGTCTAATTGGCTTAGATCTTAGATCCTAAATGTTTTTACTGTTCATGTAATTGTGTAGATCTTATATTGTCAAGGCATAAGTACCATGCTCTGTTTAGGAAACTTGTCAATATAGAATGTTAGATGCACAACATGAAATCTCCTTACTCATTTATACGGATTAGATGATACAAGTTGAAATT